CCCCCCCCCCCCCCCCCCCCCCCCCCTTCCGTCAAAATACACCTTATCATAAGGCGACGCGCTGCGCTCGCGCATCAAGATTCGATTCTAATTTGAATTAAACAGGGTTTGATACGTCACTCGCGCGCCCGAAATTGCCAGAAGACGTCTGGGTATCCAACTAATTCTTAGTTCGCATCCTTTAGAGGTGTTCACTTTCAACATGTAAGCACGAGAGTTCAAAACAGCAAGATTTTTAAGGGAGTTCGGGGCGATGTTCTTTCTGGGAAAGAGACGAACGAGGCGCGCGCATTCCGGATGTGTTTTCTTCCCCCCCTTTTTTCCTGCTGCGAGTTATCACGCCGATTAAATGCAGCACATACCGACAATTACATTGAGCAGTTACGGTTGTGTCTGCGTTATAACGTGTGACACGCGGCCGGTTTAGGACCCGGAGGCGGACGGACGACGGGCCCTTGCTGGGTGTCTCGTCTTTCTGCTGCTCTGCGTCGCTTCCTTCCTGCAGCCTCTCGTCTTTCACAGACGAACGGCACATTTTTTATTTTATTTATTTTTTACCGCAGGTTAAACCGCGCTAAAGCCACGCGCCGCCATCCATACCTCGTATTCCAGTTAGTCAGAAGCAGCAGCCCCGGTGCCCGTTAGGATCCGTAGGGGAGACAGTCCATTGTCCTGCTGCTGCTGCTGATTCCTCCTGCGAGAGAACAGACTGAGTGCCAGCCTCCCTTCTGCTCCTCCCCCTCCCATCATTTTCCTCCCTCTCTCTCTCTCTCTCTCTCTCTCTCTCCTCTGCTACTCTTTTGCGTCCTTTTCCCTCATCCACCCCCCCCTCCTCTTCCAATTTCTGTCTTTTTTTCCAATCTCTTCAACTTCACACCCTCTCACCCTTTCCTTTCTCCCTTCCTCTTTTTTTTTTTACTTCCTCCTTTCTCCCCCTTTCCTCCCATCTCCCCAGTCTACCCGCATAACCTTTTCCATCCTTTCCTCTCACCCCCATCTCCTCACCATCAGGTGTATTAGAAGTAGGTCTCGCCCTCAGTAGATGCAGATGGGCATCAGTTTAACATGTTTACCTCATTAATTCACCATTAATTCACTGACAGACGTCAGTCATTAAGTCACGTGCACAGACAGCCGATTGGCCTCATATGACAACGTCCACTTACTCACTGTTTTAACTGACTCGGTTACCTGTTTTGGTGGCTGGCTGACTTTTTTTTAAAAAGCTGTTTGGCAGAAGCGACAGGTCAGTGAACCCATCATTTCAGTTACAACATGGAGATACAGCGACCTCTGCCGGCCAAAACAGGTAAAACTACACCACTACCACCACTACTACTATTGATACTACTTCTATTGATACTACTACTATAGTAGGCTAGTGGTGAAGTGGAGTTGTGTTATGTTTATATTATTTGATACGGACATCACAGTGGCATTAGAATTGTAACATACATTTATGCACAAGGACCAGATGCACTGTGTTTAGTGTTTATATAGAAACGCTAATTTACAACACCTGTCCACAGAAGACCTAAAAAAAAAGTTAAAATAGATATACAGATACATACACAAAATACAAAATACATGTATGTCTACAGGGGTGTTCGGGGTGAGAACAATGTTGTTTCTCTTTTAGCCATGATTTAATACCTCTGTCAAAAACATTAAAATTGTGTTGCATTTTCAATTCAGTTGGTAGACAGTTCCATAGTTTTGCTCCTTTAACAGAGAAGACTGATTGTCCAAATGAGGTTTTGCGTAATGCAATGCGACAGTTCCTGTTTACTGAGGCCCGTGTGTTGACTCTACTGGTATCTTGAAACAAATTCATTAAGCAGGGAAGGAGCATGACCATGTAGGCATTTAAAAGTAAGCTTTAAGTTGGAATAGCTTATGAAGCAGTAAGTAAGAAGTACAATCATGTGGTAAAGTGTTGAGTTAGTGTACTTAGTGACACCACGATGCATTTTCAAGTAAAAGTCACAACAATATTTATAAGAAACAAACAGCTCTCCAAAAACTCCCACGTTTAAGTCGGTATTAAAAGTAAAAGCACTAAAGTAACGTTTTCTGTAGCCCTGACTGTACACAATGTGGGTTTTTTGGGGGCAAGGGTCACAAGCCAAAAAGGTTAGGAACCACTGGCTTAGGTGTAATCTAAAAAAAGTAATCAGTAATTAAACCTGTCAAATAAACCTAGTGGAGGGAAAAAAAGTAAATCTTGCTCTCTAAAATGTAGTGAAGTTGTAGAATAAAATCATATAAAATGCTTAAGCAAAGGGAGTAAATGTACTCGGATACTTTTCATCGCTGTGCTTTACATTTTGCTTTTAATTTTGAGGTTTAACTTTTTAGAGTATGAGATTTAAAAATGAGAAATTAATTGACAATATAAGCAGCTATTTTTCATGTGTGTACAAATATGTGAAACCACTAGAACTAGTACACTATGCTGACATGACTACACGGTGAGGTTATGAGGTCAACAAAAGCAAATAACGAGATAATTAATTTACTTGCCATCATCACATTAACTGCTGCAGAGGCGTAGTATTTTTTAAACAGTAAGAAAAAAATAAGTCTTTGATTTATTTTGAAATCAATTTTTTACCGGAAATGGCAGTATCGTGTAATTGACCGTCGACATGTGTAACTGAATTAGTCTTTACTGCTCTCTAGTGGTCACTGTGAGGAACTGCGACTCTGATTTATATATTCATGCTAATACACGGTGCTAGTGTCGGTAAAGTTATTAATGTAATCAAACAATTACAGCTTTATCAAAGTAACTGTTGCAATAACCGACAGTCACGTGACTGCTGCTGTGTATGGTGTGACGCGTAACACGCTGCAGTAGACGTTCTCAGCCTCAGAGCCGTTTAATGACGTCTCTGGATGTTCTTTAGTTGAACCGATAGCAAATCTACTTCCGGTGTTATTTCAAAGTAAGGTAACTAAACTGGAAAATAAAATCAAAACAGGACCAACATGCTGATTTTTCTTTAATGCAGTTACAGATTACAACTCCGCATTCCCCAAAGGTATTACAAGTATTTACACTGATTATAATTATTCTTTAGAAGTATCAATGGTATTATCGTCATGCGAGTGTTAAGGAAATTGTTAATTTGTAGTTATATACAGCTTTTATCTAACAAAATCCCTTATGCTATAGTAATTTATTTGACATTCCTCTTTTAATCTTCTATTTTTAATTCTAGTAATCTGTGTCCTCCTTGGTGAAAATGATGGATGAATGTGAGCAGCAGACATGGTATGACCTCTGAACTGTGAGTCGAGCTGTAGTAACCAAACGTGGACAGAAGAGAGCAGCAGACTGAGGTTTATCTCAGGTGGTCATAAGAAATCCAATGCATCAAACATACGACACTGGATTTCAGAAACATATACAGTGTACATTTACTGGACTTGTGTGGCATTGAAGGAGGTTTGATAGTTTATCCTAAATGGTGATATGTCGACACTAAGCCTGCTAAATATATAATTTAAAGAAAGCTGATTTGTTAACTGTCCATGTCAAGTCTGACAATGTATAAGAATTACAATGTTCCATTTTTAAGTCAATCCCCTATACTCCGTTTTTATACATTAAAACATTTGATACACAGATGAGTATCACTTCAAATAGTTACTATATCATGCTTTAACTCATTTAAGATTTTTACTGATAAAGGCCAAACAGCCTTGATGCTGTCGACATACCTGTGGGGAAAAACAACCTTACCTTATCACGCATGGCAGCATTGGGCACAATTAGAGTGAAGGTGTACATGACTCGTCCCCTCTGGAGGCCAGCTATTGGCTGATTTCGGGAGAGGTAGACATGATTGTAGTCCTTATTTTAAAACAGGAGTCACTGCTCTGAAGATTTTTCTCTTACTCTAAAGTCAAAGTTTAGGACCTCTCTTCATTTTTTTCCACTTTCATTGACTTAACCCTTTTAACCAACATCATTCCTGATCGTAAAATACCACAAATTCATTCATTTACAGAATTTAAATCCCTTAAATGTAGTTATTTTATGTTTACTAAATGCTAAGTGGGATTTTTATTTGTTTTTACAGTCAATGACAACAAATACTGCAGCGCTCCATATTACAGCAGAAATAAACCCATAGTGGAAATCAGGAAAATAGCGTGCATTTAAACCCGTATGGCAAACAGGAGAAAATTGCGCAATGTGTTGAAAAAAAATTGTAAAAAATACAATTTTGAAGAAAGAGCTCTAGATCAAATAAAGCCTGATATTATGTTATGTTATAATGACCAGGGGATGAAAATTGTAGTTTTATTATCTTAACATTTTTGTCTTTAGGAAAAAGCATCTGTATTTGGTTACAGAGTTTATTATATAGGAGCTGAGGTTGAACTTCCAAAAAAAATAAAAAACACAAAAACAATTTAAAATGAAAAAGCTAAAATTGTACCTTGTGATGCACGAGTTTTATACACACGGGCCCAGTTCACTCATTTTGCTACACACCAACTACAATCAGTTTGCCAAAGACATTTATCGCCCAAAAAACTAAATAAATGCGAATCCACTACGACGTACTGGTTGAAAAAGCTTTAATTCACTCGTATAGCCACCCACACATGACGATACACAGATGAGAGGTCGGATGAGGCGGCACAAACAGCTGTGAGTTCTCTGGGTAGAGTAGGTACACCTGGAGAACAAACGAGCCGGCGGCTCTTTCAGCGCACCTGCTCACAGAAGAAGAAGTTCTTCAGGTAGCAGGAATGAATCTTCCCGATCAAACGAAGTAACAACAATGCATCAACACAAGGTGGTGGGGGGGGTCTACACATCTAAGCGGGAAACCTAATGAGACAATGTGTTCCTATGATAAACATCTGTTCCACCGTAATCATACACCTATTGGTTTAGCAGTCAGACAGCTGTTTGGCCTCCCAAAGGACAGTTACTCACTCTCCAGGTCGAGCAGAGGAAGCCCCCCCCCACATTCCAACATATAGAGATGATTAATATGTCCCTCTGATTACTAGTCACCCCAGCACATCATGTCTCCTTTACACGCCAACAGACCTCACTTTCAATCCTCCCCAATCCCACTATCTAATATTCTACTACTCTGATAACCATACCTCCCTCCCCCTCAGACTCTCCCCCCCCACCGCGAGGGACAGCGCTCAGCCGCTGACGACGCGTCCCGCCCAGGTCTCGTGCTTGGTCCCCGGGTTGAGGTGGGTTATGGTCACCTCCACCGCCTGGACCTTCTCCTGCCTGGGAGGGATGCAGCAGATCTTGTAGCTCACCTCGTCGCCTTCCACCGGCACGTACTCGCCCTCGATGCTGGGGGGGTGGGGGGGGAGGGGTGTTACAGGTATAGTTTAGTATTCTCCAAAACCATTCTAAACATCTGGAGGAAAAAATGTTCCGTTTGCTGCATGATAATAAAAAAATAAAAAGATTTTTTAACCAGACTGGATTTTCTATCCAGGTAACCGGAAATTACATCATGACCTTGTTTCTTTTTTAAAAATATTATGACGATGTTTTGTATGAAAATATGAAAGAAATATTGGAAAGAAGCAGCAATACACCAATATGACAAATAATTAAAAAAATTGCAAGGAGAGATACTGGATGTCAATTCCGGCTACCGTCTTTGTTTGGATGAAGAAAAAGAGATGTTTTTATTGTGCAACAGATGGAAAATCTTTTCATACACATAAAAAAGAACAAAAGAATCCCGCACACGGAGCATTACATGAGCTCATTTGAGTCCTCAGACTTTCACCAGGTTCATAGAGAGCCATACACATACGGAGGCCATCGCACTCCACCAATCAGAGGACGGCAACACTGAACTGAAAGCTCTTCAGACATAAAACGCACACGTCATACCGAGCGAGTCCAATGGCAAACCTTTTGAAGGAAGATCGAAACTGAACTTCTTTATTGCCGTTTCAGTTTCAAAGTGTTTGTGTGTGTGCGCGCACACACACACTGCTGATGTGTATGGGTTTAAAGCCTGTGGCTGATAACAAAGGCACCGTGGTGAAGGTCATCAGATATTCTGCTGTCCTCCTACACACTCCTGCAGCTCCTGTGTGTGTTTCCCTCTACTCCCACAGACCCTGACATTCTGTCAGCGATTAAAGCAGCGCCCTCACTATTCATTCATTAGAACATATTATGCCGAGTTCAAATAGACCCAGCCCCACCCAAGATACTTCCATACAAACAGGCTCGTTCTCACAGCGCACACACACACTCACTCCGAGATGTGGACGAAGATGTCGCTGCCCCCGTCGGACGGCGTGATGAAGCCGTGGCCCTTGGAGCGGGAGAAGCATTTGCACACACCAGTAAACGCTGGACCCTCTGACGCACGAGCCGTCCTGCACGGGGGGGAAGAAGAAGAAAAAGAGAAAGAGAGAGAGAGAGAGAGAGAATATCAACAAAAGACACAGATCCACCCGGTACCGAGGGGCATTTTGATAAGGCTTTAAATGGTGTCAATACGAATGGGACGGCACTCTGCTGCGCCATGTCACGTTACGACAACGCCATAACATGCGATGTACAGTTGTGGGTATTTATTATATGTATTTTTTTTTACTCCCTGATTTAAACGTCTTCCAGGCCTTTGCCTCACGAGATGAGAGGTAAAGGTCAAATAATCTATTTACTCGTTTATGTCAAAACAGCTTCAATAACAAAAGGAAATGTTTGATGAATAAATGATGTGTAATAAATACTCTGACTGCATTCCTCTGCTCTCATGTGTCTTTATGTTCCATCTTTAATTCTTAATGTTTCTGCGTAAATGTAATATGCCAGGCTTGTGCAATTACCTTTGCCCAATACTCAATTTCACTTAACAGAGCCTGAACGCATCATAACGTAAGTGAACGCAACCTTCGTTCATTAGCGGTGCTGCTAGCATTACTGCTAGTGTTGCTAGCTCTGCTCTGGTCAATGTAAACACGGACTGGTTGTTTACATTGTAACATTATCAAAGATCGGCGACTAGAAAAGCATAAATGATGTCCTGATGGCATATTTGACTGAATATTGACAGATAAAGGTAGTCAGTAAAACTGTATTTCACACTGTGATGGTTAACGTTAAACTGTGTCATTAATCTGCGGTTCAAATGCGAGCAGAACCGGGAGGGGGCGATCCGTACGGATCACGGATCGACAGTGATCCGTTACACCAGTGTCCAACAGGAAGAGCGCGAGAGTGTGTGCACTCACGCCGAGCAGGTCCTGTTTCTGCGCGTGGGCAGGGGGCTGGGGATGAGGTAGCCTCTCATGGGGGACGGGGAGCGGTCTCTGTGTCTGCAGGCCAGAGGACGCAGGGACTCTGGCGGGACAGAGGACAGTGTGTTACATCATGACAGATCACTCACGGCAGCACAGTGGTTTGCTTCTGTGCTTCCAGGACACAATGTCAAGTCACCTGAATAGTGATTAAGCATCAATGGGGGAAGAAGTAGTCAGATCCTTAACTTAACTGATCTTTAACAATGCATTGTATTCAATAAGCTTGTTATAGTTGGATTCATTTAGTTTACTTATATAGTTTGGTGAGTCTGAACTTACACCAAAGTCACACAATAACACAAACAAACTAACAGATCGAGGCAGATGTAGACCAGCAACTCCAGCGTTCTGCGAGGTAAAATGACTGTTTTTGTCGAACTGATATACATTTTTTTAGGTGGGTCTTTATTTTAGGGGCTTAATAGAAGTGTTGCCTTTACCTGGTGACACTGGAGACCGTGGGGATCCTGCAGAGGTGAGCGGAGGGGTCACGGGGCGTGATCCCTGGATGGGCGTGGCCTGAGATGACATCACGAAGTCGAGTCAAAGGGCTGGGAGGAAGGAGAGGGGGTCACTGAAGATATTAAACTCCTGGAGAGAGGAGAGCCGGAGGAGATACTTAAGAGTCTTCATGCTGAATCAAACATTTTCACATTTTTTTTCTCTCTCTCTCTCTCTCTCTCTCTCTCTCTCTCTCTCTCTCTCTCT